AAAAAAAACAAACAATGAAATGTGCAAGCTTATGTATTTATTTTTTTAATTGTGGAAAAGTTGAACATCCTACTTGCAAGAAATAAAGCCTAAAGTTAAAATGAGTATAATTTACTCTGTGTATTACCATAGTACCAGTATCCACATAATTGCAAAGCAAATGACAGGGAAACTGCTATAATTAGTCATTTTTTGTTGTGCGTATAACATCCTATAAAATTCAGTTTTATGTTGGTTTTGGTCAAAGCTTGAAAGAGCCGCTGTGGAGGGACCAAAGAGCCACATGTGGCCCCAGAGCCGCAGATTGCAGACCCCTGGTCTAGTGATACGTCTTCAAAATCCTTCAAAAGTGTGGTGTCTACTTTACAGAGGCAATACATATCTGTTAAAGCTCAAAATGAACTGAATGTCACCGACACCGTTTAAATACAATCAAAGGTCAAGTCACTCATTTGAACATTCCTCGAGATTTTTATGGTGGAACTTCACTGCTTAATGAGGCACCTAAAGGTGCTTCTGTCTAATAAAAATTAATAAACAACACCAGCAAACCACCATTTTCTACCTCTATAACCTGACAGACTAGTCCTTTTAATGTTAGTCTATTCCTTGTAGACTCACGCTGTATTTGTAGAGCTTGGCTTCTCTTACTTAGAGGAAAATTATGGTACAATGTGTTTATTCGTTTCTACAGTCTATACAGAGTCATTTGTAATTCAAGGTTTCAAGTATGAATTATTGTTTAGGAACGTTAAAGCAGATTTAGATCATTTATGTATCAAGGAGAGAAGCCAACACTTGTCGTATATCGTTTAGCTCTTTGGCTCAGAATCAGCTATACAGTATCTCAAAGTGTTGTAACTTATCAATCATTCGCGTTTGTCCCTCAGTGCAGGTTATATATAAAATAACAGTAGAAGATGTGCAATATGTGATGGTGGTAGCTTGTAGTTTGTTATATGTAACTGCTGGTCCCCTGTCCTGGAACTCATTCTTTCCCTTTTGCCTGCACCTGGTTGTGCACCTTTGGCTATAGGAAAAGCAACAAATGCAAAAATGGCTCCAAAAAAGAACAAGTTCAAGCTGTAGCTAAAGAAACTGCATTTTCTGCAAAAATCAGTGTGAATGCTTATTGCAGAATAGCTTAACAACAGCTGAAATTAGTTAAAAAAACATGCTGAAATGTAGCTAAAATGGACGAACAAACCCAAATTAGCAGAAGAAAGCAGAAAGAACACGTTTGCCCTATTAGACTGAAATAAGCAGACATGAACACAAAAAAGTTGAAATTACCTGAAAAAGGCTGAAATTAGCAATAATTTAAAAAAAAAAAAAAAAAAAACAACATCTGAAAAGTAGCTAAAAAGACAGAAAGAAGCTTAAATGACCAGAAGTGGAATGAGCACATTTTACCTGAATTAGGCTGAAAAAAGTTTAAATGCATGCAAAAAATGTGGCATTAGCTGAAAAAGCTAAAATTAGCATAAAACAGATATAAATAGTGGCTGAAAAAAGCTGAAAGGTGCGCAACAAGCTGAAAGTGGCAGAAAGTTACAAGAAGCATACATATGTTGTAGTTAGCAGAATAAAGCTGAAATGAGCATAAAACTGTTGAAATTAGCTGAAAGTAGCTGAAAAAAGTTTAAATTTGCACAAGGAAGCTGAAAAAAGCTGAACCAAAATAAAATGTGATAGGAGCAGTAAAAGGTCGTCAACACGTCTATGAAGGATGTAAAATGAGCTCAATTCGTTTTCTATGAGGGAAAAAAAAATGGCAGAAAAGGCTAAATATTCCAAAAAGCTAAAGTTGCACCAATACCAGAAGTCATAGCAGGATTGTCCTGAAAGAGCTGAACATTTTGATTTATGATTTGTTGAAAGTTTGAAAACTGCGGGACAAGAAAGATGTCGAAAAACGTTCGGAAGAAAAATGGATCACAATAGAGTGAATGCTTCATAAACATTCACACAATTACATCGATCAAACTATCAGAGTGTGATCAGTATTAAACTACAAGCAGTCGGATAGAAACGAAGACATTTGAATATTTACAGTATTTTTGTTATTTCAGATTAACAGCACAAATTATATTCAATCCAGTTTTAAACGATGGTAAAACAAAACAAAAGATAAAAAGTAAACCAAGAGTCAAAGTCCTTTCACATCCAAATCTTAGGAAACACTAAACCAACCTTTTGTAGAACAGCAAACAATTGAGCCCCCAGTGGTTTTCAGAGTTGTGTAAGCCTGATGTTTAAATGCTCTTAAGGTCAGATCTCTCTGGTTTCAGTGGACGCAGGTTTGACTCCCTCACCCTGAAATGGCAAAGTGACAGAAGGGGCTCCTTTCTGTTCAGTGTGTGTGCGAATGTTTTAAGTAACTGTGGGCATACACACTTCGCTGTCCTTGCAATGAATGTACTTGTGGTTAAAAGTACAAACCTGAGTTTTTGTTCATTCCAAAAAAACAGGATCTAAAATTGGTTTCTACAAAACGACAGAGCAACTAAAGCCAAAACAGCAGCAACACAAAGGACGAGGTGCTCAAAAAAGGTTTTTAGATTCACAGAAACTATTAGTCACCTCTTATAATAACTCCTGCTTCCCAACAGGATCTTAGCAGAACAATCAAAGTGGGTCATAAAAGCTAATACAGATCGGGCGGCTTCATGTCCAAACGTGAGAGCCGGCATTGTTGCCTGGGCTTCACGTCATATGACTGACACGAGCCGGTTTAGTATCCAGCAATAACTGTGGCTTTTTCAGGTTGCAATCCGTCCTCTCTTTCTGCCATCTGTGTCATGTAGCTGAATGTAGGAGTCATCTTACCCTTGACCCTTCCTCCGTTTCCACTGCTCGCTCTGCTCCCCCTCCCGTGCTCTGCTTTAGCCGGACAGTTCCAGTTCTGTCCCACAAATCAGCATTGATACCCAGCAGCAGAACAAGCCTCCTTTACCCAAGTCCTTGTCTCGTCTTTGATTTTTTTTTTTTTGGCCTACTGCTCCAAGCTCTCCTCCTTCAACATTTTAAAAACGATGAAATATAGATTTGATTCTGTACTCACAAAAGCACCGTCAGGACCTCCGTTCCTTTGTCTCGACTCCGAACACTGGTAATCTACTGTTGGCATGCTCCAGGGTTTTAAAATGTGTTACTGGGGCAAAGTGGGTGCCAGTATTACAGAGTACTGCAGAACTAGTGCAAAAAGCAGAATAACTTGCAGAGGAAGGTGATGCACCAACAAAAGCTAATAATAATATGCATTGCATCAACATTAAGGAAAATAGTTACATACATAACTTTTCTTCCTTCCAAATTTCAACGCTGACTGACCTATGAAATATAAATTTAGCCATTTTTGGTGTAGAGATTAAGAGATTTTCTATGATTAATGCCAATACTTTAAAAATCAGGGCAGATGATCCATATTAAATACCATTTTTTGACCAATATCGATTGTTCATTTAACATATTGCTTAACTTACATGATCTTTTGAAGAGCTTTGACACTACAAAGAACATATGAATGAGCATTCTCACTTAAAAAACTAAACCGTAGACTACAGTGAGGCTGCCTCTGCATCGTCATCCTCCTTCTTGATAAATAAGTATACACAGACTGATTGATGATTTATTTATTCATTTTTTTACATGGCCTATAATGTCGTCCAATTGAAACTGATCAGAGTATTTAGTCCATCTCTATCTTGGAGGTTT